GACCTGCCACTGAGCCACTCTATGGGGACAACTTCTTCCAACGCCTGGACGGTGTCACCAGCGCCCTGGACACACTGGAAGCCCGTGAGTGCTGGAAAGGGGAAAGGGGCTGAGCCACTGGATGTGCCCCCTGGCTCCCCACCCTTCCTGGCTCCCTGCAGGCGCCTACTTGGAGAGCTGCTGCCTCCGATGTCGCACACCGCTGCTGGACTCGGGCACGGAGGGGCCTCGTGGAAATGTGCTGCCCATGGTGCCCCACCTGACCAAGCCTCTGGAGCCAGGCGGGACCCCTAGGGATGGCACCTTCGCCCCCTGCACCTTGCGGTACTTCCCCCGCACCATCCAGCACACACTGCAGGTAGGCTGAGCCGCCCTGGCCACAGCATCCAGCAAGGAGGTACCGGGACCTTTGTCTTCCTTCCCTGTTTCCCTTCCAGCAGTGAGCCACGGCCAGGATATGGCCCCAGCTGCTTCCTGCTGGTAGCCTGAGTGCTGCTGCTGGCCCTGCCATAGTCTCTTCCTCCTGCTGGGCTCGGGTTGGGGGCCATGAGGAGGGGGTCCCTGTGCTCAACACCCACTCTCTCTCCACAGTGGGCCCGTGATGAGTTTGAGGGGCTTTTCCAGCTGCCTGCAGAGCACGTCAACCGGTTCATGGCGTGAGTGGACTTGGGGGCAGTGACACCGGGAGAGAAGCTGCCAGCCCTGCCAGGGCACTGGCGGGACTGGGGAGAGGATGCTAGACTGCTGCATCCCACCCAGGTGTCCCGTGGGATTGCTCTCAGGCCAGCATCAGCAGTGCCTGGTTTTGCAGGGACCCAGCTTTCCCGGAGCAGCTGCCAGCAGGGAAGGCCCTGAAGGTCCTGGAGCAGGTGCGGGACAGGCTGCGGGAGCGGCCACGGGACTGGCGGGACTGCGTGCTCTGGGCACGCCGGCACTGGCAGTGCCGCTACCATGATGCCATCGCGCAGCTGCTGCACGCCTACCCCCCGGAGCATGTGAGCCCAGTGCCCGTGGGGCTGGCACCCCTGCACCTCTTCCAGCCACCAGCCACCTTGCTGCAGCCAGGGGCACACATCCCTGGGCCTGATTCTTCTCTCCCTGTGCCAGGAAACCAGCCCGGGTGTCCCCTTCTGGACAGGGGACAAGAGCTGTCCCCATCCACTGACATTCAACCCTGACAATGTGAGTGCAGGGAGGACTGTGGGGTCCCTCACGGGGACAGTGTGGGCTGGGGGAGAGCCGAGCCTATGCCAGGAGTATGGGGATGCTGGACTGTGGTCATGCTCCATCTGCCACAGTCTGTCCAGGGCTGCCAGGTCCTGGGCTGGATCTGTCCTTGTCCTGATCTGCAAGGGCACTTCTGGGTACAGTCTGCATGTGATATGTGGCCTGAGGAGGAGAGGCTCCTCCACATCCACCTTGGGACAAAGCCAGACTATTCTACCAATTTGGGGCAGTGCAGGCAGCCTTTGGCCACGTGGGACCACCCCAGCAAGGTGTCCCATGGCCCCCGTTCTGCCCTGCAGGACACCCACCTGGACTATATCCTGGCCACTGCCCACCTCTTTGCCCAAGTACACAGGGTGCCACCACGCAGGGACCGGAAGGCCGCTCAGGACATTCTCCGCAGTGTGGTTCTGCCACCCTCTGCACCCCAGGAAGCACTTCAGATACCCCTCACAGAGGAGCAGGAGGAGGCACAGGAGCCTACAGGTGAGGCTCCTCACTTCTTGGTCCCCTTGGGCACGTCCTCAGGTCCCTCAGTCCAGCCTGGTGGTGGTGAGGCTACGACTGCTCTTCCCTGCTCCAGTACCCAGTAGGATTGGACTGAGGTGGGGGCACCGTGCTGTGCCCCTTGCAGTGCCACAGTGCAGGGGTACCATGCCAAGGGTCCCTGTGCCCCCAGATCACAGATGGCTGACAGAGCTAATCCAGGACCTGGCACAGCGGAGACAGGAGCTGGTGGGTGATGAGGAGGCACAAGTGCCCCTGATGGAGCCCATCCACTTCGAGAAGGTACCAGAGCCAGGCAGGTCGCCCTGCTCAGCCTGGGGGGTTGATGTCCCCATGGGATGCTCATGTCCCCATACTCTTCCCCACAGGACAACGATATCCACGTGGACTTTATCACAGCAGCATCCAACCTGCGGGCAGAGAACTATGGCATCCCCCCCACCGACTGGCTGACGGTGAGAGAGGTGGCCTGTGGGGTCCCTGTCCTGGGCGGGTCAGCTGGTGACACCCCTCCTCTCCTCAGAGCAAGCGGATCGCCGGGCAGATCGTGCCTGCCATCATCACCACCACGGCAGCCGTGGCTGGGCTGGCATGCCTGGAGGTCTACAAGCTGGTGTGGGGGTGCCAGGACCTCAGCTGCTACCGCAACAGCAACATCTCCTTGTCCAACTGCCTGCTGCTCCGCATCCCGCCCCCGCCACCCACCACCTACCGGGTAGGGCCCTCTCCCCAGGGGCAGCACAGGTGGGGGACACCTTGGGGTCAGTGGCATCTACAGTGGGACAATGTGAGGGGGAGCCAGGAGCAAGGGGCAGCCCTGGTTCTAGAGCTACAGCAATGGATCCGGGTGCCATAGTGGGAGTGGGTCAGGAATGCTGCCAGGCAGTGAGGAAACAGCTCCTTCCCCTGGCTGCCCCCCAGCACTGAGCTGCTGCCACTGTCCCACCCACCCCAGCTTAGGGCCCAAGTGGGATGCTCTGGGGTGCCCATGGGGTGAGGCAGCCCCGCTGCCCCACGGCGGGCCCCATGGTGAGCCCCACGGCCAGGGGTGGCAGGCTGTGGCAGCCACACACATCTGGCTTATGGAAACCAGCTGCAGCAGCCAGAAAGCAGCTGGCACTGGGCCGGGAAGGGCCGCCCGGGGGGAGCGGGGCCGGGGGTCCCAGCGGTGGGGGGCCAGGGAGGGAGAGTGGGGGCGGGGGCAGGCCCAGATTGGGACCGTCTGGGCTATAGAGGCCCCTTTGTCTGGGGGTTTATGGCGTGCGAGGCAGCCCTTCCGGCACGGCAGGAAGCGCCGATTGGAACCAGATTGGCCCGGGGGGCCCAGGGCCGGGGGCAGGAAGAGGGGGAGGGAGGCGACTCCGCTGCCTCGCCGACTCCAGCACCACTTTGGACTCAGGGCTGCCCCACAGCCCTCTTGTGCCCTGTGGGCTGCCCAGCCCTGTGCCATCCTGGCCACGGTGCCCCCGGGTTGGCACTGTCCCTGGATGGAGGATGTTGCTGGGGCTGGCCATGCCCTCAGGTCCCTGCAGCAGCACCTGGCACCTTCGTGTCCCATGGTGAGGACACCCGGCGTGACATTTCACACCTAGCTGCTTGGCTGTGGTGGGAGCACATGTCCCCCAGGCTCACTTGGTGTGACCTGTGTCCCCCAAGGAGCCTGGGGAGCCCACCTTGGGGGCAGTCCGGAGGCATGTGCTTCTCAGGGCCAGAAGGATGTGTTTTCAGGATGCTGGGGTGGGCAGTGGCATTCTGTCCGCACCAGGCGGTCACTGCCCCGGTGATGATGGGGTTAAGCCCTTCCCACCCCAGTGAGATGAGCGCAGGCAGCAGAAGGCTGAGGTGAGAAGGCAGCAGAAGGCAGGAGGGAGAGTGACCAGGTGTGAACACCCCTCCGGAGCAGGGCCAGGCGGGCAGGGCTGGTGGTGCCTGCAGCGAGGGCAGATGGCCGGGCAGCCCTGCCAGACGGTGCGGGGCCGCATCCGGCACTTGGCCCCAGGCTTGGCGCCGCGCTGGCCTCCTTGGGCTGGAGCCGGGGTCGGGGGGCCACGGGCTTGAGAAGAGGTGATTGTGTGGGGCTGGGCAGCACTTCAATGGCCCTTTGTGTGCCTGTCCTGGCCTGGGGCTGGGGGCAGTGCCAGCCCCACATCGACCCTGACCCCTGCAGTGGACCCCAGCAGGGCTGGAGGGACAGTTGTGGCCCCAACTGCCCCTGGAGCCCAGCAGTGCTGAGGGGACATTTGTGTCCCCAGCTGGCCCTGGACACCAGCAATGCTCGTGAGACAGCTGTGTCTTCATTTCTCACAGGGGACCACCATTCTCTCCAATCCCCTGACTGGTCCTTTTGCCAGCCCTCATGCCACACCAGTCCCTGCCCCACGGGATTGGGCAACCAGGATATGGGGTGCCAGCACTGGCTGCTATCCCTTGTTCCTCCTCACAGTACGGCGGGCAGGAATGGAGCTGCTGGGACCGGCTGGAGATGAGGGCAGTCAGCGCAGACGGGCAGGCAATGACAGTGCAGGAGGTGCTGGACTGGCTGCAGGTGAGCCCAGTGCCAGCAGCACCCAATCAGGTCACCCTGGGTGTTACAGGGACAGATCCTGACACCCACCTCTTGCAGAGGACACATGGCTGGACTGTGACCATGCTCCTGCATGGCAACACCGTGCTCTACAACAAGGGGGACAGTGAAGAGACACGGGCCCAGCAACAGGCACAGAGGTAGGTCCCTGTTTCCAGGGCCAATCTTGCCCAGGGCGGGGGCTTTCAGCCCCCTCTCCCTCCAGCCTGAGCTGCTCCAGCTGTAGTGCAGCTCCCAGCCAGCTGCTGGATAAACATCCTGCCGGCAGGACTTCCCGTGGCGGGACCCCTGCCTGGCCCCTTGCTGACAGCCCCTGCGTCCCACCAGCCTGGCCTGACACCCCTAAGGGGCCCAAGGCACCCCTAGGCGCCCAGCCAGCCTTGAGGGGCAAGCCAGTGTCCCCAAAACCCCTTTTCCCTGCTACAGGTTATCAGAGATCTTGGAGGACGCCGGGATGCCACAGCAGCAGGACCTAGAGCTGCATTATGTGTGTGAGGAAGAGGATGCTGAGGAAGATAAGCGTCCCCCTCTCCTCTGCTCCCTACCCTGAGCAAGGGGCCGGCACTTCCTGCCCCACGCAATAAAGGCTGCAGGAACCATTGTCGCAAAAACTCCCTGCTTGCCCCTGCCCAGGGTCGGGGCACAGGCACCCCCCTTGATAAACGCTGCAGTGCCCGCACCGTACAAAACCGGGGTTTATTTACAGGGAGGGGGTGCGGGCGGCAGCAGCGGGGCTAAATGTAGCCGATAACGTCGTTGCAGATGATGGGCTGGCGGCTGCGGCTGTTCATCAGGGCGGTGAAGCGGTGGAAGTCCGTGGCCAGCTGGGCGATGTTGCTGTGGGACTGGTGGAAGCAGGCACCCTTGGGCTGCCCCCCCAGCCCCAGCGGGCAGGAGAAACGCTTGGTGGCATCGCGGCCCCCCGGCCGGGCACCCTCGGCTGCGCGGGGCCGGGCCATGTTGGCCAGCTTGCGGCGAACGTTGCCCGAGAGGCTGAGCAGGAAGGCGGGGGGCTTGGCCAGCCGGCGGGAGGGCTCGGCGGGGGCTCGGCGCCGCGGCTCGGCGCCCACTTCAGGCAGGTCCATCCAGTTCTCCACCAGGTCAGCAAAGCAGTTGTCACCCAGCACAAGGGGCTGCCGGTTCCGGCTCTGCGACAGCAGTGCTACGGTCCAGTCCTGCGTGTCGGCGGGCTCCAGCGCCCGCCACTGCTCCAGGCAGGCGTCCGAGGTGGATTTGGGGCGGGCGCGGCGGGCGGGGGCAGGCGGTGGTGCAGCGGGGCCGGCGGAGAGCCGGTGTGCCCGCTGGCAGGGCAGCAGGTGCCGGCGCCGCACGGGCACCTCCTCCTCCCGCCACGTGCCCCCCGACGCCTCCGAGTAGCCCGAGTCGAACTCCAGGCTGCGCTCGCTGGCCGGGGGGGAGCGGGCGGCCGGGCCCCCCCCGTCCTCCTCCTCGCCGCCCGGATCCAGGCTGCAGGCCGAGTCCGCCGCCGAGCCGGGCCGTGGGGCACGGGGGGCCGGCCCCGGTGCCCCTCCGGGGTGGTGCGGAGCCTGCCGCGTGCTGTGCATGTGCGCCCGCGGCGCCGCCCCTGCTTCGCGCCGGCACCACTGCAGGGAAAGGGCACAATCAGCACGGCGGTCCCCACTGTCCCCAGCCAGCACCGCCACCTCCCATCCCACCCCGCGCCCCCCACCCCGCCTCGGGGGGGCTTTGCTGGCGCAATAGGCGCGCAGCAGGGTGCGGGGAGCGGGTGCAGGTCCCGTCTTGCCTGCAGCCCCGGGCCCCGCTTTCCTGCGGCTCCTGCGCGGAGCCGGCCGGCGTGCAGCGGCATGTCGGGTGAGCAAGCAGGCACCCAGCCCCGGCCGTGCCTGCGGGAAATGACAGAGGGCCACGGCACGTAGGAGCGGGCGCTCCACTGCCCCCCCGCAGGCCCCTGGAGTCCCCCCGGCCTGGTGGGGAGGCAGCCGGGACGCCCCTCCGGCAGAACCCCACTCGGTGGCACAAGGCCAGCGGCAGCCCCAGGGCACCCGCGGGTGCCGGGGTGGGGCATTCTCCCCGTGCGTTGGCCGGGCCACCCACCCAAACCGTGCCCTCCCGCTGGGGACACCCCAGGTGACGTCAGGGTGCAGCCAGGCCATTGCTCAGGCCCTGAGACCCCTAAACACCGCGGAATACAGGGGGCCGAGGCAGCCAGGGCTGAACGGAGCGTGACCGGGCGGGCGCTGGAAGGGCCGCCTGGCTCCCGCAGCCGGGCCGCTCCTCACTCTTGAATTCCTATTGTCTGAACCCAAAAGCAGGGTGTTACGTCCGCTTTCCTTTCCGCGCTGGAGTCGCGGGAAGCTGAGTGTGCAGGAGGGATCGCTCCCAGGACGGATAATCCTGTCCCCTCTGGCTGTCCCTGACAGACCCTCCAGCAGGGCTGTCCCAGTCCACGTCCCCGTTCCGGTCCCTGTCCCCCTCCCCGCAGGCTGGGACCCTCTCATCCAGCCCTACTGGCAACGTGCCACCTCCCCGAGCTGCCCAGTCCCGCCGCTGGCCGGGAACACAGGGGCAGCCGGCTGCTGGGCGCTGGGTAGGCATGTGGCAGGCCCAGGGGAGCCAAAGGGCCACCCTGTCACCGCCGTCCCTTGGGGCAGCCCAAGCTGGGCGGCAGGGTGGCAGCCCCGGGGGGACGGTGCCGCTGGCACCCTGACAGCTGGACACTTTCGTGTCCCCACCGCCACCCGTGTCCCACGAGTCACCCCCGTCCCCCTCGCCGCCTTGGCCTCGCGTGTGATGTCACGGCGCTGATGTCACCGGCGGTGCCCGGACGTCACGGCGATGCCCAGACGGGGCGCGGGCACGGTGGTCCCGTCCCGTCGCGGTGCCCGCGGCGGCACTCACCCGGTCGGCGCCGAGCTCGTCCGGGCGGGCGCTGTGCATACCCGGTCCTGCTCCCGGCCCCGCTCCCGGTGCTGTCGGTGCCGGTGGTGGAGCGGCAGCAGCAGCAGCAGCAGCGGACGGAGCGCCCGGCCGTGCCCGCCGCCTCCCGGCGCTGCCCGGAGGCCCCGCCCCACCCCACCCCGGCCAATGGGGCCGCCGTAACGTGAGCCCGGCCCGCACCGGCACCGGCCCCGCCGCCCCGGGGCCCCGCGCCGGGCACCACCCGGGCACGGCCGCGCCAGGCGGGACCCGCGTCGCGGCCGGCAGCCCCGAGGGCACCGGGGCCGGGCAGCCCCGGCGAGAAGCGGGGCGGCTCCGCTGCGGGGTCCCGGCGGGGCACCCGCCTATACCGGGCTGTCAGAGCCGGGCTGGGCGCTGGAGGAGGGAAGGGAAGAGTGACCCCGTTAATTGGGAGCTAATAGCGTTTAATAGGGATCCCAGAGAAAAGCGGCGCTGGTTTGCAAATGAAGGAGAACACGGCCAAGAATTACCTCCCAGCTAATTTTTCCCGGCTCCCGGACGTGCCGCGTGGCGAGGCGGCGTGGGGTGGCAGCCAAAGCCCACGGACCGTGGCTGTGAGAGGCCAGGGGCTGGGAACGGGGGCGTGCGGAGCTGGGGGCACTGGGGCCGTGCCCTGTCCCTCCCCTGGCTGGGCAGGCCACCACGGGTGGGGATGGCCAGCGTGACGCCGGCCCGGGGTGGTGCCCAGCACCCTTGGCAACCGGCTGCAGCTTGTCCCAAACATCTCGCGAACGACGGACATGCACGAACACCTCACCTTCCTCCTCCTCCTCCTCCTCAGCCTCTATGCCCCAGGTAGGACCAGGAGTTGCACTTGGTGGTTCTGATGGGTCCCTTCTAACTCAGCATATTCTATGGTTTTATTATTCTGTGAGTTCTGGGGCCTCTCCAAGGCACACCCTGGCAACCTAGGGTGACACTCTGCTCTCCTTTTTGCAGGGACTTTCGTCAAAGCAACAGGTAAGAATGAGGTGCCCTGGGACCCACTGTGCCCGGCAGGGAGATCTGTGCCAGCATGGGTGCCCAGGTGCAGGAGCAGAGCTCCCTTAGCATGGCTGGGTGAGCTATTTGTGGTCCCTGGGGTCTCCCACCAGCTCTGCCTGACTTGCCACGTGTGGTGACCCTGAGTGAGGACACAGTACCAGGCGCCCTTGTGGCCGAGGTGACTGTGTCCTGCAGCAACATGAGTGGCAGCCCCAACGTCACCCTGGACAGCTTCGAGCCTGACCACCCTTTCAACCCTATCACCATCAGTGCTGACCCCACATCTGCCACCATGTTCCGGGCAGAGGTGCGGCTGGGGAACAGGAAGTGGGGCAGGACCCCTGGGTGCCCTGCTGAGTGACGTGTCCCCGTGGCAGGTGACACTGAGTGCTGGTGTGGAGCTCGATGCCCGCCGTGTGAATCAGTACACCCTGACCCTGCGGGCCGCTTGTCCTGGAGAGGACGAGGTGGAAGAGCGGCTCTTTGTCCGGGTGACATTGGGGCAGGTGCTGCGCTGTGACACCCCCTTCGCCAGTGCTGGTAGGAGCCAGAGGTGTGGGGTGGTGGGGGCTGCAGGTGCCAGCAGGCACCAAGCTCCCTCAGCTGTGCTGTGCCCCAGGGGGTGACGTGGTGCAGGTGCTGGCAGATGTGGTGCCCCGGACACCCTTGTATGCAGTGCTGCCGCAGCCGCTTGGTGGGCTGACGGTGAGTGGCAGCTTCCTGGGGCCTGCAGCCTCCAAAAATGGGAGCAGCCTTGGAGACAGTGGAACCTCAGCTGTGGAGGAGGGAGACAGGGGTTTCCATAACCTCCTCTCTGCAGTTCAGGCTCCGAAACCATGAGACACCACTCACGCTCACCCGCCGGGGCCTGGTGCTGGCACCTGATAATGGTTTTCACCCCAGCAAGGACACCCAGGTTGTCACCTGCATTCCCAGGCTTTTTCAGCATCCTGGCACTGCCTGCAGTTCTCCACATCCTGATCTTCCTATTCGGCTCTTTTATTTCCCTGGATCTCCAGCTCTGTGCCCATCTCAAGTCCTGTCTCAGTTCTCAGTTCTCATCCCTGTCCCTATTCCTGTCCCTATTTCAGTCTCCAGCTCAACTCATCTCCATCTCCACCTATCTTTCCACCTCTGTTTCTGCCTCAAGCCCTATTCTCATTCCTGTCCCCCTCCACTTTCCTGTCTGTGTCCCTGTTCCTGTCCCCATCCCGTCCCTTTCTTGTCTCTGCCCCTATTACTATCCTCATCCCAGTGCCCATCCCTCTCTCAATACCCACCCTGTTCACTTCCCCATCCCTGGTGCCACTCAGGGCTGTCCCACAGCTGCCCTGGCACTACCCTGCAGATGTTCAGGTTGGAGATCGAGGTGATGGACCGCCACGGGCACAACTGCAGTGGGGCCGTGACAGTGGAGGTGCTGCCATCGTGCCGTCCCCGTGTCACCTTTCCGTGAGTGGGGTCGGGCCGGGTGGGGGGTGCTGGTGGCACCAGGCCACGCCACACTGCCGACTTTGCCTGCAGTGAGCCACACCGGTCTGTGACGGTGACAGAGGGCATGGGCCCCTTGGAGGTGGTCACACAGGTCCATGCCAGTGGTGAGAATGTCCGCTACGCCATCCTTGCTCCTGTGGCACCCACGCTCTTCACCATTGATGAGGGTGAGCAGAGGGGTGGGGGCCTCCAGGGACACCCTGCCCTGTCCCCGTGCGCAGTGCAAGGCCGTGCCTCCTCCCACAGTGACAGGTGAGATCCGCTGCACCCGCAGGCTGGAGGTGGCCCGTGTCCACCTCCTCATCCAGGCTTACAATGCTCTGCACCCCGCCGACCATGCCACTGCCACTGTCAACGTCACCGTGCAGGGGACAGACCGTAGGGCACCAAGATGTGTTCCAGCCATCTTCGTGTACGATTTGGGGGGGGAGTGGGGGTACATGGGATGCTCTGCTACACCCAGGACACGGGGAACAGGAGCTGAGCTGCTCACTGCCCCACTGCAGGTCCCAGGTGCCCGAGACGGTGTCCCCTGGCAGCACCCTGGTGACACTGAGGTGCACCGACTCTACTGGCACTGACGAGTGTCTGCATTATGCCCTCGAGGGGCCCCCCGCTTCTCGCTCCCATTTCTGCATGGAGGGGCCACGGCTGAAGGTGAGTAGGGCTGCAGGCAGGGCCCAGGCAGATGGCAAGCCCAGACCCCAGGGAGCCTGGTGGGACAGGGGGGACCTTGTGACATGTGGTGTCATAGCAGGTCCAGGGCTCCCTACTCCCCAAGGCCTGCCTATTCTCCCTGCTTGCTCCCTCCTGCTGCCCTGGCATTGCAGTTTGTGTGACACCCCAGCTTTACAGAGCACCTTGGCTCTGCCTGACCCTCCCCATCCTGGCTTGGCAGGTCAACACCACCCTGGACTATGACTCAGAGGCCGTGGCCACTATGGGTTTTCAGTTCACAGCCACCATCGTGGTGACAGCAGGAGAGCAGCCCCCACGGAGCAGTGAGTGCCTGCGTCCGTGGAGTGTGTCCAGGGGTCACAATGGGGGAGGAGGGAAAAGCCCTTTCCTGATCCAAAAACCAGCAGATCACAAAGGAAACGTTCCTCCCCTGCTGCCCTAGAGGTGCCCACCCCAGTGCTGGTGCCATTGTCCACGTCGCTCAGCTCGGTGTGGGCTGTGGAGTGGCCAGCGTGGCTGAGCTGCCGTGTGCCACACAGCCCGTGTGCCTGTGCTTGTGATGGTGACCCCTGTGAATGAATTCAGACCGGCGTGCCCCAACAGTGCCACCTTCACCGTGCCGGAGACAGCAGCTTTTGGCAGCGTTGTGGGGCGCGTGGCTGGCACTGACCGCGACTACCCACCGGACAGCCTTGAGTACAGCCTGGAGGGGGAATCCGGCCCTGCACAGCCCTTCTCCATCGACAGCCGCACTGGTGAGCACCTGGCCCCTTCCTCAGCACCCACCATACCCCAGGCACCCACCGATGCCCCGCAGCTCATGCCGCCCCACAGGTGAGCTCCGCGTGGTGGGACCCCTGGACTCCCAGCGGCAGAAGAGCTACAGGCTGGTGGTGCGGTTGACAGACACCCGCAACGACCTGGACCTGGCAAAGCGGCACAGCCGCCTGTGCGACGTGTCCGTGCGCCTGCAGGTGCGAGGGTGGCCCCTTGGTGACCTGTGGGTGGTGTGAGCGCTGTGAGTGTCACACCACCACCCCCTGCTCCCGGCAGGCTGTGCCAGACCAGGTGCCGGTGTGCACCCCCGAGGTGCAGGAGCTGCGGATCACGGCGGGGTCTCCAGGCAGCCGGCAGCCTGTCACCCGCCTGGCGTGCCACGGCAGCCCCGACGGTGCCACACTGACACACACCATTGTTGGAGGTAAGGAGCAGCCAAACCACAGCACAAACCAACCCTCACCACGGCGTGGCACTGAGCAGACCCTCTCATCCAGGCAATGAGGATGGCTGCTTTCGGCTGGAGGGGAACACCGTTGTCTACCTCCCCAATGACCAAGTCGAGCCCCGCACCTTTGTGCTGCTGGTGGAGGTGTGGGGCGGCTCTGGTGCCCGCCGCCGCAGCACCGTGGTGGCACTGGTGGTGCACGTCACCCCCCGGAGCACCCCGGTGCCACCCAGCACCACCACCCAGCACACGGTGAGCAGAGCCCGCTGGCCAGGTGGTGCCGTGGGGTCCACTGAACCCCCCAGCCCTCCCATACCCACTCACTGCCCCACCTCTGCAGACACTGCAGAAGGAGCCGCTGGTTGTCACGCAGACGAAGGTGGTGTGGCACCCGCCAGCCTGGTTCGTGGCCGTGCTCACCATCTCTGGCACCCTGTTGCTGGCCACCCTGGGCTGCACGGCCAGGAGCCTGCTGTGCAGGTGAGCCCGAGCCCACAGCACAGCATGGCACGGCACAGGGAGCAAGGCCAGGGGCTCACGTCTGCCCTCTGCTCCTCCCACAGGAACCGGGACCCTGGCAAGTTGTTCCTGGGCAAGAGGTGAGTGCTGTGTGGCCAGGGCGGTTGTATTGGTAGTCATAGTGTCTTTGCAGGTAGCCAGGGAGACACAACACGTGGGGGATATTCAACATACCCCACATTTGGCTGTGGTCTCTGAACTGCTGTACCAGAGAGCCGTCTCTGCTCAGGGTGAGGGTTCAGCCCTGATGGGAGCCATGGGAACAAATATAGTGATTTGGCCAGTGGACGGTGATGTTGGTAGCCAGGCTGGGGCACAAACTCTGCTGTGGACAGCATGGGATGGCACAGTGCTGGTGCTGCTGCCCACTGCAGGGCTGGGTCCCAGCACCAGGGCTGAGGTCAGTGCAGCTCACCAGGGGAGCCCCCATTTGGCAGAGGGGAGCCCAATTTGGCAGGGAAAGCTCCAGGGAGAAGGTGAGCAGGATGCACACCCCTCCTGAGGATCAGTGAGGGTGACAGGCAGCGGAGGAGACACTCCAAGGAGATGCTGGAGCTGGAGCAGCCTGTCCAGGGTGTCTGCACAGCAAGGAGGAGACATGCAAGCACACGGGCAGGATAACAGCCACCTCCAGTGGCACAACCACCCTGAGGGGATGCATGGCTGGATCCGCGTTCACTGGTGAGGTTGGGGACACAGTGCTTGGTGGCACTGGGGCTGTAGTGACCATGCAAAGGAGAAGACTCAGGCTCAGCCCCTATGGGTGGCAGTGGCACCATGGGGGCTCTGGGGCTGCAGCTCCCCCAGCACAGCGTCCTCTGAGCTCAAACACGTGGGCAAACAAGTGGATGTGGTGGCAGACCAGATCAACACCTTCGGGCACTGCTGAAAGGTGCTTGGGGGAGCACAGCCCTGCCACAATTCTGCTCTGTGTCCGTGGACACATGGGCTGGGTAAGGGGATGAGCAGGTAGGTGGACAATGGGCTCGACAGGATGCAGCTGGCAGGGCAAAGCCTGTCTGGCAACCTGCTCCTGACAGCGTCCCTCGGGGGCAAGGCTGGGGGCCCAACACTGACAGAGTGCCCTCCTCTTGCCCTCTTCCCTCTGCAGCTCCTGGGATGTGGTGGAGCAGAGCGGGGGCAAGGAGGAACAGGGACACTCAGATGCCAACAGCCAGGTAAGTGTGTGCCGTGGCAGGTAGGCTGGGTGCCCTGCCCAGGAGGAGCCCTGGGACCCTCAGCACCCCCTCCTGTCTCTCCTCCACCCAGGGGCAGTTTGATGGCCGTGCTCAGGACCCACGTGAGTGCCCTGTCCCATGGCCCCACAGCCTTGGGCTGTGTCCCCCAGGGCAGAGGGGTCTGGAGACAGGAGAGATGGGCACCAGCCCCCCAGGGCAGTGGCTGAGTGCTGCCTCCATCTCAGGCACTGGCAGGGACTACCTCTTCAACAGTGTGACTGGGGCACGGCGCTGGATCTGAGGGGCTTGTCTTGGTGAGGGGCTCCCTGCAACCCACAGCTCCATGTGGGCCATGCCAGGCACAGCACTGGACATTGGCAGACACCTGGAGTGGCCCTCAAGGAGGACACCTATCCTTTGTGGCTGAACCCGCTGCCCATGGGGTGCAGCCAGACTCTGAGCCACCCCAGACACTGCAGACCTAATAAATGGTGTCAGAGCTTGCAGGCACTGCCGGGATTGCTGTAGGGAGTGCCGTGGCCAGGCAGTCCCACGGGTGGCTGTCCTGCTGTGGGGGGTCATTATTGCCATCCACAGTCAGAGGTGCGGGTGGCATGAGCCAGGACAAGGATAGCAGTCATGGCAGTGGGGTTGGCACTGTGAAAGATGTGCTGAGGGCTTCGACAGGGTCTGCTCTGGTCACAGCAGCATCTCTGTAGCCTGTGGATGTGGCCCAGCTGGGGCAGTCTCTCACGGAGAGGTGATCTGGGGCGAGAAGACTCAGTCACGGGTAATTGTCAGAAACTTTGGCCCAGTGTCCCCCTCGAGCTCTTCTTTGCTCCAGGGCTCAGGGGCGCAAGCGGGTTGGTCGAGCAGCCGGTCGCTGGAGGGGACGGGCTGATAATTAGCAGGAAAAGTGAATTAGCGTGGGCGCAGGTGAGAGAGACACTACAGGAGCTGGGAGCGGCGGGAAGCTTTGAAGGCGCCAGTCAGCGGGAGAGGTGGGAACCCGGCTATTTGAATTTCAAAGGAGCGCGCCACGGGACACCTCCCTGGCAGCTCCCGGGGAAATGAAGCGCTGGCGGGATAAGAGGGGAGACTAATTTGGGGAGTAGGTGGCTAAGGGGAGGGAGAGCGGGCAGAGGCCAGCCGTGAAATTTCACAGTGAGAAGGGTCACCCGTGTGACTCCGCCGGGGGGCTCCCCTCGCCCTGAGACTACAGGGACCGATGACCGCCGGGGAATGAAATCCTTTATTGTACCGTGCAATTTTTGTACACAAAAATCCTTTATTGTGCGTGCCCCGCTGGCGAGACCAGGCTCGGGGGGGCCCAGGGTGGGGAGCCCGGGACTCAGAGCGGAGGGTGCGGAGCGGGGTGCTCTGCCGGAGGGGCTCGGGGAGGTCGGAGCCGCAGCGCCCGGAGCACACTCGGGGTCTCGCCTCGGGTCTCAGCCCGGGCTGTGGGAGCGGCGGCCCCGCCCAGCCCGGCCCCGCCCCGCCCTCAGCGCGGGCCGCGCCCATTGGCCGAGCGCCCCCCCCTCCCCGCGGGCAGCCAATGAGGCGGCGCGGCCCGCGGCGGGGCGGGGCGCTGGCTGGAGTCACGTGTGCCTAACGTGCGCTGCTGTCCGCGCTCGGAACAGGGCGGGGCCGTCCCGCGCTTGAGCGACGGCACGGTTGGCCTATCAGCGGTGTCGTTGACCACCCGCGGGGCGGGGCTCGGGCTCGGATTGGTGCTAGGGGTAGCAGGGCGGGCCTTGGACGGCGCGGTTGCTATGACGGCCAGCCCGGGCCCCGCCCGCCCGGGCGCCGCCATCTTGTTGTTGATCGGAGCGGCGGGGAGCGGCGGCGCTGGACTCCGCTGGGCTGTCCCGCTGTCCCGGCCGGGCGGGCAGCGCCGGCCCCGGTGAGCCGCGGCGGGCGGGCACAGCGCAGGCTGAGCGGCGGGGGACGGGGGGTGAGCCGGGCCGCGCTGCCGTGAGGGGAGGGAGGGAGCGAGAAGCGGGCGCGGCCCCGTAAAGGGAGAGGGAAGAGGGGAAGGAGGATACACAGCTCCATGAGGAGCCGGGGTGAGGAGGGCACCGAGCACCCGGACGGGCCCGGGGGTGCAGGGGATGCACGAGCGGCCCCCCGAGGTGGGAGCGGGGGGAGCCCGTGTGTGTGGGGTGAGATCCGGCGGTGCCCGAGCGAGGCGCGGCCGGGGCGGGGGGCCGGGGCAGGGCCGTGCCCGGCGGGCACAGCGAGCCTGCCCTCCCTTTGTGCCCTTCCTTCCCTTCCGCAGGAGCTGCGCGCAGGAAGGAGCTCGGGGGCCGCGGCGGTACCATGAAGCCAACATGGTGAGGAGGCCGGTGGGGCCGGGGGCCCGTCCGCGCTGACCCCCGGGCACGGGAGGGGCGGGGGGCCCGGAGCGCTGGGTGCCACCCTGGGGACACCCGGAGCGCGGGTCTGCTCGGGGGTCTGCAGGGCCAGACCGTAACCAGCCTTCCCTGGGGCTTCCGAGTAGGGGTTGGTGGGTGGAACTGACTCCTGTTCGTATTCGAGCTGCTCAGAATTTGAACTGGTCCCAGTCTCCATCCCCCTCCATTTTAAAGCTCGGAATCAGCCCCCGTTTTTCTTCCCAGTGATATTCTTTGGTATGTACTGCCTTTCTCGTTTCAGCTGTGTTTCTGCTCCATCTGCTTTTCCTCCCTTCAGGTTCACCTGGCTTAACTTGGTGTTCAGAGCTTCCAAAGCTGCATTCCACGTTTGGCCTTTGCTAATGAAGCGCTGAGTGGTGCTGGAACAGTGTGGGCTTGGGTCTCTGTTTGTTCTTGATGAAATGTTTCTGTGATCAGTAGGGCTGTGTAAACTTAGTTGGTAGCTTGTCTCACAAAAATAATATGTTGTAATGCCTTGTGAAGGTCTCATTGTAGTGAACTGTCACCTGCAGCTGATATGGGGACATGTGCGTATGGTCAGATTTTTCATGGAGAAAAATTCCTTGTTATATATTTTCTTGGATATTTTTTTTTTGTTATATATATCACTGAACTAAGACTTTGATTTCATTTTTACAGAAATCCTGTCAGGAGCTTCAAGGTGTTTTAGAATTAGGTATATCAGTTATTAGGTGTTGGCACTGTAACCCTAAATAGGTGTGTTAGGGACATCCTAACCCTGTGTAACAGTTTCTTGTTGCTGAGATTGAGAAGTATTTTTCTGTAGCTGGGTTAGTTTAGCACTGATCAAAGGTAAGTGCTTTGTTTTGGAGCTGGAAGAAAAGTGGTAGGTTGTGAAAAGATGCAAATGTGGGCTCTATAAAGCAAGATAACATTGGGTCGCTCTTTCAAGCGCATCAAACTTGTTTTGTCAATGTTTTGAATCGTCCTAATGCAAATTTTTCTTTCTCTTTCTTAGAGGGTGTTTCTTACCCTCCCCAGCTTTTTCAGCGCCACCTTTTGCAAGTGCATGGATGAACAACCTGTGCCATCCTGGTTAGAGCCCGTTGGGCAAATCTGAAGTGTCCTTTTCATGGCATTCCCTTTGTTTCCTGTCTAATAAGGACTTTTGGGGGAGCAGGAGAAGTGGTCCTTGGCTCCTTGAGGGGGATGTTGATGTGTACGAGGTCATTACCAGGGGAATCTCTGCTGACCAGAGAGTAGGATATGCTGGTAGGACCCTCTTCTGGACTCTGGTTATTCATTTAGGCACCTTGTGGAAGTTTTGTGTGTTTCTTGCATAGAAAAAGAGCAAGTGAGCACAATTATGTGTGACATGAGAAGGGGGGACAGTTTTTATGATCTGCTTCCAGTCACCAGTTTCACATTCAGTGTGTGGCTTCACAGGCACTTCAGCTCATGGAAGCATAGACTGCAGCCCACAGGAGGTTCTTGACTTGCTGTTTGGGTGCTTGTACAGGTGGGAATCTGAGTTCCCTGCCTTACAAATAGATCAAGCAGGAGACAATCCGGCAGGATTTTTTCCCCCCAGCTCGGTGTGGGTGCTTAAATGATTTTGCTGGTGCAAGGGAATGGTGAGAATGTGAGGCTGGTGCTGAAATGGAGTCTTATCCTTGTCCAGAGAAACCAACACTGTGAGTGCGTAACAGTGCAATGGTGTATTTTTCTGCATGTATTTTGTCATATATAGCTTCAAAGTGTATATTTACATATATTTAAAAATTTATGAAATAGTAGTGCCCGTGCTTACTTCCTGCTTTTGTGAGTAGTATCACTGTATGCCTCATCATCAGGTTGACAGTACTGGGCATGTCCTTCTCATAAAAATACTATAGAAAGCAGAATTAGATGTGCTTTGGGATCCCCTCTCCTGACAGATTGTGCAAGTCGACTGACTTGGAAGTTATTCTGCCTTGCACTGCACATGGTGAGAAGTCAAGGTTATAGTAACAAGCACTCGTAGGTCAAAAAGTGCCCAGGCTGGAGTAGTACTTGTGCCCTTAATCAACTAATCAGCCTTCTAAACAAGCATTATGATTTCTTCTTAATCATGCAGTTCTGTGCTCTCCTCATCCCACCCGAGCTGCCTGGTTTGTTCCTTTCCTTCTCTCCCGCACGTGTGGAGCTCATTCACTTTGGGTAAAATTATCACGCTCTGAAATGTGACCTTGTGGAGCTTGACCAGTGAGAGATTAAGAGCCCAGTACAAGCTTGGAGCTATTTGTTGACCATCTGCTTGCAGGACACAGTGTTTTCGGTTCAGTGGATCACCAGATGATGGTAAAAATGTTTCTAGATTTCAGTTTTTAGGTGATTTCTCAGTGTCTGAAGGTTGTGAATCTGGTGAGTTCTGGGTGGTACAGGGGGTACGGAGTGGCACTGACTGTGCTTTCCATTGGGTTAAGAAATGCAGGTGCTAAGTTTGAAGTTGGATATCTACAGCCCATGTTCCAGAGGAGGTAGGGTTCTTCCATCTGTGGTTGAAATACACATACTGAAGCCATGGAAAATCTGACAGAGGCCTTGCTTATTGCAGTTCAGCCCAGGCACTTTACTTGCTGTCAGTGAATTCCCCCAGTCTGCCCCTTGAGAATTGGCTTGTAACATGTTGGAGATGTGAGCACTGAGTGGTGATGCTGGGATTTATAGTCTCAGAACTCGGTATTGACAAGAAGCTGCAGCCTGATTTGTTTACTCTTGCATTTGATGGTGTCACACTGTCAGTCTTGGTGCTGGACAGGGTTTAGATTTGGACTTGACTTGCAGAGTCTGTGTGTGGCAGCCCAGTCAAGCCGTGGCTCTGTGCTTGCTTGCTTATATGTGACTTGCCTAGGAACAACTGCTTTTATTTCTGACTTGTCAGTCTTTGAGAAGAAATGTATCAAAAACAAACCTAGTAAGTACAAAGGGTCCCTAGTGAGCTCTGAAGTGGGTGAGCAAGAGCAAATGAGCGAAAATGTGGCAGAAACCTCTGCAAGAATCATATCAAGTATTTGTATGACGTGCTGTAAAGTGAAGGAACCCTTCAGCTGTATGGAGGAGCAGCTAGCAGTCTCCCTCTTTCCTATTCCTGATGTGACAGGAATGCAGAGCAGGATGCTGGCCAGTGTTTAATATCAGGTTTGTTGCTGCTGTCGTAGGGGTGGTGGGGGAGGAAGAGGAAGTGTTTGTGCTTGGTTTCTGTTTTGCAGGCATTGCCTGTGCGCAGTGTTGTGCCGTTCTGATGTGGCAGCAGCTGTTATTTTTGGCTTTCCCAGTGTGCTGTTCGGGTGGATGTACTTCCTAATAGATGCGGTTCTCTTAATCCGTGTGTTGGGTGCTTGTGCTTCCTGTGTATCGGTGCAGATGGTACTGAGGTGCAAGTAATTTACCATGATTTATTTCTGTAGGCTCATCTGTGTGCATTTTGAGTGGCATTAACCGTGTATGAAAGGCAAGCCTCTTTAAGCTTTTATTTTGCATAACCCCATCAGTATGTGGTCAGTGTCATTCACAACGTTTGATCCCCTTCTCTGGGAGTGAAGGAATAAGCTTTGCTGTTAGAGTGTGCCTCCATCTATATAATGCTGTCCACGGTAGTTAAAATGGGTGCAGTCGTTTCTGTTAAAAAACAACAGGCGTAGCTGCCATAATTATATTATTATTATTAGATCTGTGTCAACCAAATCTGATAAAAGCAGTGAAAGAGGTTATGAGATGAATGTGCCTACCCTGGTAGGATGTCGCTACACGTGTTTGAGAGCTCTGATAGATAAGCTGTCTCTGATTTAGCTTTTGTAGTTAGAAAGGTTATCTCCTTTACCAGCTGTCCTGCTGCTTTGCCAGACACTACCTCCCTTGTACTGGGGCCTAAGCAGGGCCTGTTCAGCTGCCCTGGTTTAATATGCTGTGATTCAGCCTTTCTTCCCTAATACCATCCGTGCCTTGTGAAGCAGACCCGGTGAGGAACAGTTGTGCATCCGGCTCTGCTCCACCCGTGGTTGGTGATCTTCAGCTGAGGCAGCTGGGGACAGTGTGTCCCCTCAGTGACACATTTGGTAGAGAACATCTGTCAGAGCCCCGAGCAGCGAGTGAGAGCATCTGCATCCTGAAAGGAACTCGCTGTGAATTCTGATCCTAGACTGGAGGGAAGGCATGCTCTCGAAAGTTCTGAATTGATGAGCAAGTAAAGATCTCTATAAAAGCTAATTTAGCACTTGCTAACTCATATCCATACAACATCTTGCAGGCTGACCTGCTTCTGGGGTCCTACTCCCTCTTGATTGTGAGAGGTTGGGTCCATATTCCAGTGACTGCTCAGCCGAAAGAGCTTGGGTGACATCTCCAAGGTAACTTTTTTCTGCTTTGCTCAGAATATACATATGCAGCCACCTTAAATATCACGCAAAGAGAAATAAGCTGCTTGCTTTTTACCTCTCCCTTTGTAATTTTACCCTTTGAGTAAGGATATGTAAATGTGGTTTGTGGGAGTTGTGGTGGTATTATTAAGGATACTGCAGGAACGCCCAGGTAAGTGCACTAACACGGAGTGAAAAGCTCAGTCCTGTTCATTCACCAAATCAGTGTCAGTTCTTTGTAATAAGAATTAAACTTCCAAGATTCTGAAGCTCACTCATGCTCTAGTAATTCTGGCCATTTAGGTGGCTCATTTGCAGTTGAATCACCGTACGATGATTTAAGAACTCTTAACGATTCTCTGTTTTTTATTTTTCCTTTCTATTCTAAGGTTGGTTTGCTGAAAGTTGATAAGGCTGACTTGATAGGCTTCCAGGCTCAATGAGGTTACTTTGTGCTGTCCTAGATTTGGAAGAAAGTCTAGCATATCTGTTTTCTCCCAGTTCTTTGTCAACAGAGATATGACTCAATAGTAGTACCTAAGGTATAAGCATGACTGAGGCAGACTCAAATGACCTTGTTTTATTGAGGCATGGCGTGTTTAAACAGTAGCTGTGTCACACAGATGGTCTTTGTTAGTTTAAAGTGCAACAGGTAATAATCAAAGATGCTGAGCTCCACAACTACCTTCCTGGGGTAGGGAGAGGAGACATGGTGCCCTCTCTTCGGGGGATGCTCCTGTGTCTTTGTCACAGCTGACTTACACACTGATCTAAAGGTGGGCTACTTACTGTATAGCTCATATATTCTGCTCTGACATTTCTTTTTTTTTCTTCCTATTTTGACCTGTGTTTCCCCCATTTTTTTAAACTTCCAGAGTGGGTTAATGCAAAATATCACGTGATCTTTAATTCCAACTAACATTGTTCGCCGTTGGTATCGAAGTATTGTCAAGCATTTCCAAAAGTGAGTTTAGAAGTCTTAGAAAGGGCACAAGAAGATAGGGCTGGCTGTTTGTTCTGTGTCCTTTGACAGTACTGTCTGAGCAGCTTAAGCACGTGTGGGGAGGCAGTCATGATCTCATTACAGCTAACTATAGGCGATAAGCAGCTTTGAACACCAAAATCAGTGCACCACTGAGTGCAGATGTCAGTGAGTTATTTAAAGCAGGAAGGATCTGGGAGAGAAGCCTGGGGGCTACATAGTCCTGTGTCTTACTCAGTGGCTGAATCAAACCAGAGAGTAACATCCATGAAATTGCTGGAGCTGTTGCAGAAGATGAGGTGTGGTGCCTCTTGTGTTGGTTTGAGTGCTGTTGTGGCTTGTGAATAAAACTGGTGAAGGACTGGAGCTCTTTAAGGAGTTCACACCACTTGCTGCCTGGTGGAAGGTGTATTTCACTTTTCCAAAGTGGTCTGTGTGTTGTGTGGCAGATCTTCCTCAGATCTGCCTGTTGGATGCATGGGCATTGACTCTCATCCCACAAACATACGGGAAAAAAAGAACTTCAGTCTTTTGAGTCTGTCCCAAAAGAATTGTTAAAGCACTCTGAAGCTCAGATTGTGTTGGAACACTACATGTGCAGGGTTTTTTAGATAGTTTCTTAAACACCCCTGCGCTTCCCACATAAAACCCACATTATGTTAATCTTTAAACTGTGGATTTTACTTAGATTTAATGTGACACTATACGAAATTATTATGGATCCCCTTACTTTTGCAAATATTGGCATGGTTTGCTTTATTTTCCATCGGAACCAGATATTGTTTGTTTTCTTATGCTGTACAAGTGGCATTGGACATGAATCTTCCTTATGTAATCGAGGTCTTATTACTTCACAGTTTTTGCCACAAGTGTTGACCTGAATACAATTTGACAGTAAGCTAAGCATTATCAGACATCCTTTATGCATCTTTAATTTTTATAGAACTGAGGAAAAACCACTATTTTAGTCAGTCTGAAGAAGTATCACTGTTGTGCAGTGAATAGTTTCAGTTTTGTTCAGGGGTTCTGCACACTGGGGTTTTTTTTCTGTAATAACAACATTGGGGTGGTGGTCTGTTTTCCCCTTAATTATTCTTACCTTTAGTTAAATAAAACCACAGATATTTCTGTTCCTGTAGTCTGTTCATTTGTCATGTATCATTTTTAACACTGACACTTCCAGTGTATTTCAGCAGCTGAGAATACAGGGAGCCTATTGACAGTTTGGTTCACCTAATAACAAAAACCAGTCCTCCTAAAATTCTGATTTGTAAATGCAACTCGACTCAAATATTTTTTTTTTTTGTTAAAAAGTTAAGGGTATCATATAATTTACCAACCAAATGTAAACCAAGCTCTTTATTCACTCCGGGTAAAATATCTTCCTAAAACCTGGCATTTAAGGATTACAAGTTAGATTGTGAAGTGTTTCCAGGCTTTGTAGTTTTGGAGCTTGTCCTATTGTGACATGACAACCAGAATAAATTTCAAAACCTTTTAAGAATTCTGGTAAAGGTCAGTGTCCCTGGGTAGCAAGCTTGGCAACTTGACTCTTGCATGAGTGCAGAACACTTTCTCTTTCAGGTTTCCTGTCATTTGCAGTTTTCTTATGATTCTCCAAGAAGAGAACTATGTGTTATTTCCTACCTATACTGCTTGTTATTTTCTTTCTTTCAGCCTGAGAGGATATGCTTCTGGCACCTGTTATCACACTGTGTTGATCTGGAGGAGAAAATTAAAGGGAAATTTGTTTTCCCTAGCTATAGATGGCCCATGATATATTGTGACTGTGAGAATACATGTGATTTAGCAGACTGTTTTGTAGGGGGAAAAAAAAAACCAAATCCAAAACAAAACCCAACCTGCAACATGGCCTTCCAGCATCTTTAGAAGAATTGAAAGTGTGAAAACCCAAGGTAGCTTTTATATACTTGACAGAGACATGCTGTTAAAAACAAACTTGCCATAGTCTGCGTGACTTCCAGAATGAGTGTGTGCTGTGCCTTTTTAGCATGTGGTGCAGAAAATTTTTACTTCTTATATATATGTAACTTTTACACTTAATACTCAGATGCAAATCCATTTGACAATAGATCAGGTTAACAAATTATTGCCTTTTGGCTTTGGCTTTACAGCTCTGTTACATAACCAGTGGCCTCAGTTGTTGTAAGTGGCACTCAGGAAAGCCTGTTGGAAAGAGCTTTGAGATCTACTTCAGCAGCTTAACATTTAGATAAGATATTGGGAATTTGTGACCTGCAGAGTGTTTACAGGGACTTGTTTGCGACTGCCTCAGTGAACAGGAAGTTAAATATAGGCTTTGTTTGTCTGATCTTTCACTTCATTGGAAAAAGAGGAGTTTCTTGCTTCAGAACAGAGCTGGCTGGTGTGGTAGAGCATTTCAAGGTGCCTGCTGCACAGTGTCAGCATATAGGGAGAGTAGTAATGATTTGGTGTATTAAAGACTGCTTTGGAAGGTGCTTGAGAAATACAGTGGGGTAAACTGTGTTCATGGACTGCTTCTTTGGCATCTGTGAGCTCCTTTCTCCTTAGGTTTTTCTTTTGCAAAGCCAAAGTCACATTGAATCCTTTGGAAGTGTGAGCTTTGCTAGAAGAAGGTACCAAAGGATGATTGTGCTGGCTCCTGGTTAGGTAAAACGATCTTGCAGACATTTTTAAATGCCAGGTTTTCAATTTTGCCCTTCAAAATGTAGCATCTTGCCAAGCTTGAGGCTGTGACTGACTAGCTGACCAATTCATGTGTCTCCTGAGAAGATAGCCTCAGGTTCAGATTGCCTTTCATTTCCACACAAGGGGCTGGACTTCTTGTTAATTCTTTGTCCTTTACCTTCCAGAGCATACTGCAAGCCACAAAACAAGCCCAAGGTATTTTAACAGCTTTAAGATTTCCAGTATGAGTGATTGAGGGCCTTGCAGATTATGCTGATCCCCAGGAGAGTAACAGGATAACAAAAGGCCCAGATCAAAATCCCTTCTGTGACCCTGAGTTTTGTGTCATGTGTGTTTTGCCATATTAGATTTTTTAATGTCACCAGGGATGTGAGAGTATCCTTGTGTGAAATTCTCTTCAGAATTTTACCTGGTTTCAAATGAAATTACTACCTTAGCTTTTGGTCCCATCAAATACTGTATCATATATTGGGCTTACTTCTTACTTATTGCTAGTTTTAACTTCTTAACTCCTTACCTATTACTTAACTTGTTCTTACTTATTACTGGTCTTAGTACACTGCCTTTGTCTAAAATATATTAATGACAGTGTTTGCTATTTTCCATTCAAAACTTGAAGACCAAAATGTTGCCCTTTTTATGGCATTGTTTACTTTCTTGCAGCACCTACACTGTGGGGTTTTTCTCCCCTAACACAGAGGTCAGTTTTTTCTGTTTCCTTTTTCTGTTTCTTCTGTTTCCTTCTTTGTGTTTTTAGTTTGTTTTTTTAAGCGGGTTGACAGTACGAGAGAATGTACTGTATACAAGAAAGTACCAAACAAAGGTATATCCTCATGGGGAAAAAAAAAATCACAATCAAGTGTCAAGTTGAGAAGTTTATAGCTCATTTTTTCTTGCCTGTGGCCCTTAAGGGTCATCTACTTAGGAAAATTAAACTGATATCAGGGAGGGGGCATGGATTTGCAATGTGATTATGTGACTTTAACTCCCTGTGGACGTGCTTATAAGGTCGTTCCTGCTACAAGTGCTTGGGACAGCTGCATTAATCAGCATGTACATCCTTACCTAGTGCAACTCTGCCAGTGGAATCCTTTAATGTAGATACAGTTACAGTGATAAAATGACACTTTTAATTTAAAGCTTGTTTTGCTGGGAGTATTGAGAAGGTAGACAGTGATGAGTGCTTTATTTGTCATTGTGACTGGCACATTTTCCAAGGAAAGAAGGGGCCCAAAATATGTCTTTTTCAGCTGAATTAATTTTTCCCTCAGCAGTGTGAAGCTTAGAAGGGGTTACAGTGGGAGAAGAGGGCATCTGC